CAGGAAATGGGAGGCAAAGGGCCTAGAGATGGGCTGGGGCAAGTGTTAGGAGCGACAACACGGAGAGAGGAAAAGACAGAGCGAGGATGCCTGTGTCCACCGAGTTTCAGAGCCTCCGATTTGGTGGGAAGATGACCGGAGAACGTGTCCTTTCACTCCCACAGTCCCAATTTACTGGAGAGAAGACCCAGCTGAGCATTTGAGAATCTTACCTGTTAGCTAGGAGTGGATGTGTGACTTCAGGAGGAAAGGGAGAAAGGTGATGAAGGAGAGTCAGTCCTGGATCTCTCTGGAGAGTGGGGGGCAGCACGTCAGAATGGGGATGGTGTGGGAGTCGTTTATGAAAACCTCCAGTGTGCTTTTCCAGAGCTGAGAGGAAGTGTGCGGCCCAGCTGGCACCGCAGAGCTGCGAGAACAGAATGTGACCTTTGTACCCGGAGTCAGGAAGCCCAGCAGCCCTGCCCATCCACGGTCCTAGGGACCAAGGAGGGCCCAGGACGCTCAGACCACAGAAGGGAGGCCCAGAGGAGCCCTGGGCCCTGGGCCATGAGCCCTTGACCCCCAGCATGACCTGGACAAGCAGACCTGCTCCTGGAATCACAGGCCTTTCTGGTATGAAATAAGGGGTCCCGTGTCCAACTACTTCCAAAGGGACATTCTTGGATTCTTTGATCTTCAATTACGTAGATCTTCGGAGAGTCACCTTTCGTCTACTCTACCTGATAGGAATATTTTAAGGAAAGTTATAAACATAAATAGCCCCTTTATAGAAATCAAATCATTATAGGAATATTGACCAGAATAGACTAGGAGTGTTTTTTCTAAGCTGAAGATTTCCTAGAGGTGCAGCTAAAAGCTCACATTCTCCCCAGTCTGTAGGCCTGTATCCCTCTGCTGTGCCAGCCCTGCTGTGGAGGTAAGGGCACCAGGAGACCAGGCAGTGGCACTGGTACTTCCTGCTTTTCCCTATCAAGCTACGCACTGTGGGCTCTGGCACAGAGTCCAACCAGAGGGGCACCCAGGAATCCCCCTCCTCCGACCGCCCCACTCTCCTCGCCTCTATCAACTCGCTCTCAGCCTAGATTTGCTTGCTTTCTTTAGGCCAAATATTTATTGGGTTTTTTTTGTTTTTAAATTCTGGAGTATTTCAAACATGCTGGCTGAGAGGCTCGATCACCTGAATATTGAATGAACACTTCCTACGTCAAGATTCCAGGCCTTGGTTTCCTCAAATGTAAAACTCCGAGAGGGTTGAACTCCAGCCAGCGGTCCTCACTGTATAATATAAAATACACTCGTGTAGCAACGACTCAGATTTAAGAAATGTTAACTTCATGCCTTGTTGACTTCAGAGACTTAAAATAATAAAGAAACCCACTAGGATGGGAGTAATTTTAAAAAATGGAAAATAAGTGTTGGTGAGGAGGTGAAGAAATTGCAGCACGTGTGCATCGCTGGTGGGAATGTGAAATGGTGGAGCCACTGGGGGAAATATTTTGGGGGTTCCTCAAAAAGTTAAACACAGAAGTACCATACGATGCAGCATTTCTACTCCTCGGTAGTTGGGTCAGAGACGCTGTTCAAATGGGACTGGCTTGGGTCCTGCCCAGTGGTGACCTTGGGCAAGTTACTTAGGTTCTCCATGTGTGAAATAAGGGGAAATAGTATGTGCTGCCTGGATGGTTGTGAGAATCAAACAGGAAAAATCTTGTAAAACTGGGCTCCCCTCTTCATTGCCCCAGCTGGCAACAGCCTCAACCCCTTTGCGGTTGAAGAAAGCTGTCTGGTGCCGAGAATTGGTTTAGGAATTAAGGGAGAAGCAGCCCTTCAGTCATCTGTGTCGCCGACACTTTCACCTGTACACCCAGAGGGCCCGGTGCACCTCCACCCCACACCCACCCACCACCTGCACTCCAGGCTGGGGGTACTCAGTTTGGTTTTAGGACTGCCTGCAACAGAACAGCCCATTTGGGATCCTATGGTATGGGGTGGGGTCGGTCATAGCCCTCAGAAGGCTGAGAAGGAAACCAGCTTGTCTGATCCCGGAGGCCAGAAACTCAATGAATTATAATTTGAATGTGAGTGGCTCCTTTGTGGAAGTTGCAAAGTGACTGAAGACACAGGGTTAAACCACACCCAGGACTTGGAGAGAGGGGGACACAGAACTGAGCTTTCCAGAGGCCTGATTCCTACTGATGGTTTGAAGTAGTGTTTCGGTTTCATTCTTGCAAAGGGCAGTGAAGTCCCATTTTAAATTCACTCTGCATACATTTCTGATTGATTTCTGTTTGTCTAGAGGCTCTGGGATTTGCCAAGTTTCCGTGATAAACTAGATTTAGGAAGAGGTAATTAACGGGCTGGAGCCAGGGGGTGGGTAGGGGTGGGGTGGGGGGGTGGGGGGGGAGGGAGTAGGCATGATAGGGATATCGAGCCTCCCCCTCCCCAGCCTGCAGAGAGGGGTTGCCGTTACAGGAAGTGCTTACAGAGACAGCTACCAGAGGACTGGCTGGGGTAAAGCCCTGTCCAGTTAGAGCCCCGGGAAAGCCGGAACTCAGGGGTGTGACACAGCACAGGGTTTGGAATCAGGAAACCTGAGTTTTGAGTTCTGAAAGAGAGATTACCTAACTTGGTGACTTTGGTGAGGCCCTAACTCCTCTCATTCACAGGATGGAGGTAGTTTAACCCCACCTTTTATACTTAGTGACCTCAGTCAGAGCCAACCCTGCTCTTATTCCTCTGGGAGGGTCAGCTGGAACAAAGGCCCTGCTGAGTGGGGCTGGACCATGTAACCTCTCCCCGCTGGCCCCAGCTGACAGCTGGAGCTGAAATCTGCCCAAGAGTGACCAGCCACCAGACTTGAGGCTGGTTTCAAAACAACGAGCTGCACGATCAGATTCTTCTTGAGAACTTGAAAGGAAACCCGGGACCCAGTGATGGACACTGTACATGGGAGGGCGGGCACCAGGCCTGGCCATGTGCAAGATGGGGAAAGGGAGGGACGAGGGAGAACACAAAAAAGCAAGAGCACCCTCCGTCCCGACCCGGTTCCCTGTCCCAGCTTCCCAAGGCCCCCTGAACAGTATTTCCTGTCCCCTGGTCCCCTGAGATGCTTGCATTCTTGCTGCAACCTTCACTTTTCCTATTTTTTGAACCCCCGTGAGCCGGGCCCACCTGGAAGAGTGGCTGCAAGAATTGAAATAATGTACGGGGGTGAGTTTGAAGGCTCAGATCCAGGACTCTAAGCCCCCTGGAGATGCTGGGGGCCCTTCACATTCTGCCCGCAACACCCCAACCTGCTAACACGTCTCTGCGTCTGACTCAGGGATGCTCAGCTCCTTTCCTGCTTGTCGTCCCACCCCACACTCCTACCAGCAGTCCCTCGGCCACCTGACTCACACGCTCTGCAGTGCCTGGTAGCGCCTGGCACCTGACAGGGGCTCAGGTAATAAATATCTGAGGACTGACTGACTGGGGACACTCACCACCTGGTCATCTAAGTTGCTGGAAACCGCAGCGTCCGCCTTGGCCCTTCCATCTCCCTCACGCCCTGTGCTCAGGCACAGAGCCTTGGTGTGGCCTCTTTGCCATTGTCCCCACTGTCCTTTCTGCCTGGAAGGCTGCAGTCCCTTTGCCTCTCCTGTCATCACCCTAGCTCTAACTCAACTTTTAAGACTCAGCTCAGCCATCCCCTCTTCTAGAAGGCTTAGGAGGCTTTTCCAGGCCGGATCAGGGCCCTCCACCGGGCTTCCAGAATCCCTTGTGCTTGGGTCTAATCAGAGCCCCTACCTGGCTGGGCCATCATTGTTCACTTGTCTGCGTGCTCCCCAAGACAGTGACAGACAGCCTGGTACTTCCTATGAGCTCCAGGAAAGTTTTGTGAATAAACATCTGGAAGCAGACCACGTGCGCTTAATGCCTGCTGTGTTCTCTTTTAGCTGTGTGACTTTGGGCAAGTTGTTTAACCTCTGTCAGCCTCAGTTTCTTCAACTACATGACAGAAATAATTCACAGGGTTATTGGGAAAATTAAAGGCTGCGCACGTACAGACCTCAGCCTCATGCCTGGTTTAAGAGGATGGCTCCGTGGATGTTAGCTGCCAACGGAGCTGAGAAAGACATTTCTAAGACCGCTGGGACAGAAGGTTTCCAAACATCAGAGCTAACTGCTGTTCCAAGGAAGAATTAGGATGTCTTTTAGAAAACAGCAACAACAAATCATCCTTAAGTGTTCCTTCAAGGAAGTTGGGGGAGACATGTTGAAAAGCCAGGCGTTCAGCAAAAAACTGTGATTGAGATTTTAAAGTGAAAATGGAAGTTTAAAGGAAAACATGGATCTTCTTTGGGGGCAGGTGGGGAGGACATGGGCGTGTTGAGAGGGCGTGAGAGAGTGGAGGGATCGATGGCAAAAAACCCCCCCAAAAACAACAAAAAAATGTAAAGGACAGAAGTGTGGACCTTGGTGGCAGCGGTGGTGCAGGGTGCAGTTAGAGCCATGATTGAGCTCCCTATGGAAGAGATGGTACCCCTCCAGGGCGGTTGGCGCTGCGCCAGCCCAGAAACCCGGCGCCCCCCGATTCATCTAGGCGGCTCTAGAAATCCTAGTCTTTCTCAGAAGAGCCTGGCACAAGGCGCCCAGGGAACCTGGGCTGGGGTAAAAGACAGCAAGTAGATGTGTGTGCCTTCGGCTGCCCAGAGAGACTGCGAGAGAGTGGGAGCGATTCCCGAAGAACTGGGGGCGGGCTCGGTTGACCCCAGCGCTCTCCCCACGTCTCCCCTCGAGAAACGCCAAAGGCGAAAGGGCGCGGGCCCGGGGATCGAGCGGGGGGCGCTCTAGGCACCTATCTGCCTTCCTACTGAGCCCTCAGTCTCCCGCTCTCGGCAGTGGGTTCGCAGCCCGGCGGCTGGAAGAACGGCTCTCGTAGGCCCGCCCCTCCCCGGGGCCTCCCCCAGGGTTTGGGCACGTCTCGGTCTCCCTCCCGCCATCCCGGGGCTGGGACGTGAAGCAGCTGCCACGCAGCCGCGGGAGTGGGGCCCGGGGCGCGCACGGACTTGAGCGCTGAAGGTCCGCCCAGGCCGGCCGCGGAGTTCCTCTGCGGGGCCGGCGCGCCGGGAGGGGACCGGGTCCGAGGGCGCCGGGCGCGCCAGGCGCGCTAGGAGGTCCCGCCGCGAGCGTGACCTCACGGGGAGGGGCCAGCGCGGCAGCCCTGGGCGCGGAGCCGAGCGCAGAGAGCGCAGCGCCGGAGCCGAGCCGCGAGGAGCGCACGCCGCGGCCCAGATGGAGCGGTTCAAAGGTGAGGACGCGGGTCCCGGGCCGGCGCGCCCCCAACACCTACTCGCCCCGCGCCACGCCGGAAAGCAAGGCCGGGCATAGCGAGAGGCGTCACCAGGTGCGCCTCGCGTCCCGCCGGGGCTCAGGTGAGCCAGGCCGGCTGCCCCCGCCCAGTCCGGATCTGGGCCGAAGACCCGGGCCACAGCGGCGCCGCGGGCTGGTAGAGCGGACTCCTAGGTGGCGGCTGCGGCCCGGGAGCTTTGATCCTCCCAGGCGCGGAGGGCCGGGGTCGGCGTGGCGAGGCTTCTCACCTGCTGGAGGACCCGGGGTGCGCTTGGAGACCCACCCTCTAAGCCCCGGTCGCCCCGGAAAGATGGAGCGAGGCCGAGGAGTTCCCGAGTGAGGTCGGAACAGTGCGGGGCTGCTTGGGTGGCAAAGGGGCAGGTAGTTGGGGTTTCTCGAGCGGGCGCCAGCCGGAGTGGAGGGCTTCTTGCAAACCCGGAGAAAGCCTGCGAGGGGATGCGCTTGGGCGTAAGTTGGGGGTGGGCGCGCAGCTTTCTTCCGGGCTTGGTCGGGCCATCCAAATCGTTCAGCTGCCCCGGTAAACTGTCTCTCTCCGAGCCCTTCTCCGCTGCTTTACCCCCAAGCAAGAGCGAGGTGCAGGGATTGGGGGCAGAGCGGGGTGCCCGGCAGGTGGAGCGCGTCTCAGCCCAAGGGCTTAGCTCGTAATCAGCTGGGCAAGTTTTGGGGTTGGCCTGGGCCGGGGATCTCGGCCAAACCCTGGTGTGCTGGCTGTGCCCGACTCGCTCCCGTGCTTAGAGCGCCGGGGCTGGAGTCTAGAAGCCTCGGATTGCACATCGTTTGGAAAAGGAGGTTAAAGAGCTGCCCCTTAAGCATGACGCTGCGGGGACCCCCCCGAACCCCTCCGCCAACTCCTTTCCTTTGGGAAAGCTTCTTGCACTTTCTCGTCCTGGACTCGTCTCTGCCAAACCTGCAAAAGGAAATACTGTTTCTATATTTATTTCCCCCTGGGAGAGAGTAATAAAGGAGGCCGCTCAGATTCCCAAGGAATCTCACTCCAGTGGTTTCTCATTTCTGAACTGACAAACTTTTAGGGCTCAGCTTTGGTCCCCTAAACTAGTTGTATCTTTTGATTTTTCTTTTTTTTTCCTTATTTGGGTCACCTGGTTACAGGTGAGGGTGAAAGAACTAAATCTTGGGCAGGGCTTCACATGTAAAGGAAGGGTCTTTGCCAGGAGCACAGAAGCCAGCTGGGGAGACCGAGTTAAATTAGTTGACAACCTTCCTTTTTCGTTTTCTGTGAACCCTCCCTGGAGCCTCTCTCACATTTCTAAGCGGGTGGTTTTTTGTCTCAGATTCTGCTGAGATCACATCAGTTTTGTGCCTGAATGCGTGCTTCGGTAGTCTCAGAACACTTGAGGAAGCCACAGGCCCCCTCCTTCTAAAATTGCAATTTGCTGCTCCCCCCCCCCCCCCCCCCGGCTGGGGCCCCTCCGCCCTTTGGGAGGGACCCTCCCAGGGAATTCGAGACTTGGGTCGCCTCCCTGAGGGCCACTTCCAGCTCAGAGTCTGCCCTTCCTGAATTGTGTTAGCTGCTGGTTGAAGGTCCTGGTTGTAAGCTACTTTATCAAATCAGTATATTAATCCTTCTGAGTTAGGGCAAATGATAACATTTTGTGTCGTCTTTCCAAATGCCCAGTTATTATCAGAAGGTTTTTTGTATTAATAGCTTTTGACTTGGCCCTTAACCCGAGAAAGTCTTCTTACTTATCTTTTCGTCCTGGGGGTTTAACATCCTCCCACCCTCCAAGATCTCTAAGAGGTTTTCGCCAACTGAAGGAAATTTAGTTTCCCGTTCAGAGTGTTTATGTTTCTGGTAACACATGTATCTGCCTCCTCATTTTGCAGTAAATCAAACACAGCGAGTGATAAGCGAATACATCTGAGAATTATCTGGATTGCAGAGGCTAATCCAGCCCATCGTTTAGTGTTTTGACTATGGAGAAAAATCTCCAGGTTTCGCTGGTGAATGCTACTAATATGTTTACTGGACCTTTAAGCCAAGGAATTTGGGGATCCCCCACTTCACCAGGAATCTAGAATTCCCCATTCACTGGAGAAGCTGAGTTGCGCTTTGAACAGTCATTGACTTGAAAAGTTGATCTGTGCAAAACTAAGCATGTTGGACCCAATCTTCCATTAACCAGCGCAACTCTAACTAGTATCTGTAGTCTCTCGCTTGTCAGAGAGTGAGGGTTGTTTTTTTTTTTTTTTGGTAAGATTGAATAATTATGGAATGACTAGGTATGGTGGTTTTAACAACAAAATTAAATGGAAGAGCAAGGTATACTTGGGCTCTCAGAACATAGGTAAAAATTGTAAAGAATTGTTTGTGACGCTTTTAAAATTTGTTATTTAAATGTCTCCTTCTATGTTTCTAAGTTCCCAGTTTTGAGCTCTCTCTCCTCACAGATAGGTTGAATGCCTCATCACCATCTCCAGATTCTCAAAATGTTTTCTCTCATTTGTAAATCTCACAAATCAGTCCACGTAGGAGAAACTGTTTTCCACGTTCCCCAGCCTACATGTCACATATTGTGCATCTCCAAAACCAGCCTATCATTTTTAGGCTCTGGGCTGACTTTCCATTGTTCTGTAAGAGGTAAAGAGACGTCTGGAGGTAAAGACTGGAGTATCACCCTGTGTGTAATGCAGAAACATTTCCAGGCTTTCTCCTCATCCCTTCTAAGCCATTCTGGAGACAGCCATGATTCTCTTAAGCAAAAACAAGGTGGTGGTGGAGGCAGTAGGTGAGGGTGTCATCCCCAGAGAGGGGGAGCTTTTATAAGAGTTGTCCTAGAAAGTGATGGTAGAATTGCTGTGTCTTGTACGTGAATCTCTTCGGTGTTGTCTTAGCTGTGCTAAGCCCTGCGGGGTACGTTGAGACCGTTCCCATCCTTGGGTGTTTACATATTTATGAATCTCGTAAGGGCATCCTTGTATCACTGTGCATAAGCCCACTGGCTGAATTCACACCATGTAGTCAAGGATTCTGGTTCCTACTGCTCTTCCAGCTGGTGAGTGTGTCCAGGGCCAAATGTGACTGACCTACTGTCTGTGGTATTGCACTTGGAAGTCCATGCCAAAGCTTCCTGAAATTGTGTCACACTTGGATACAAACATGCAAGGTTGAGATAGTCACTTTAATTTGGATCACAGTAATTGGTTGAAAGTGTATCATTCTTTTCCTGTATTCTTTGGTTTCTGAATCATATCACCTGATTTTCGGGAGAGGGCACTTGGTTCTAGGGTACTGGAAGGTAGAGATGAGCTGTGAAGAGTCAAGCCAGTAAAAATACTTGAAAGCTTATGTGGGAATCATGAGATCAGGGAAGGCCCAAAAAAGGAAAACTAATTAAAAGAGATAAACAGATTGATAATATTCATTTCACCTTCAGAAGAATCATCTGAATATGTTGTTTTTCCACGTCTAGGAGCTCAGGTTTTCCCAGTTGAAGTTCTACTTAAAGCAGAGGGTCTTAACTTCAGACACATGTGGGAAGCATCCAGGGAGCTTTAAAATATATGGATGCGTAGACCCCACCCAAGACATTCTGATTTAATTGGTCTAAGGGTTCGGCTTAAGCGTGTTTTTTAGGTGATTCTAGTGTGTAGCCAACAATGAGAACCATTGAAAAAAGATAATTATATAACACTTTCCTCACCTGGAAAACTAAGAGCGAGTGTGGAGTGAGACGGATACCGGCTCCATACGCACGGGATGTGGTTTAACCAAATCTTGTGATACCTACAGAAATCTAATGTAATTCACCTGAAGCTGTTATGGGCTTTGAAAGGCTGCGGGGAAGCTACTGAAAAACAGTCTCCAAAGTGATGCTTCAGAATCCTAAGCTCAGCGTTTGCTCATGGTTGTACTTGACCCCAAGCCCTCCTGACTTTGAAGCTCTTTGTGTGGGAGCCCTTGATGCCTTGGCAATGAAATGGTCTGAAACAAATACTGAGAGGTCACCTTTGGTGCTGAAAGGCCGGGAGGGGTGGGGGAATTCTGCTCCCGGCCCTTCCCCTCTTCTGAAGGGGCGGGAGCTCTGGGAACTGGGCTGGTTCCAAGGACCGTTAAAGGGCCGGGAGGGGCCAAGGAGCTTCAAAGCTAAGGAAGCTGTGCCAGTTTTCTTCCAAATCCCTTTAATGATGGGAAGTGTTTCTCTAAAGACTTCTGTCATCCAGAGAAGGGAGACTTTCCCCAGGCCAAGGGAGGGTGGCACGTCTGCCCAGAGCCCAGGCTGAAATGGAAGGGAGAACAGTCAGGGTGCGAGGAAGAGGCAGCAGCTTGGGAACCGGGAGTCCCAAGGGATCTGCTTGGTCAGGCGAGATGCTGAGCTGTCCAGGCCTCAGTTTCCCCTTCTAGAAAACACCCCCCAGTGTTTGGCCATCAGGTTTTCCTAGCAGTCTTCAGTGCTACTTGCTCTGTGGTTACTGAGGAATCTCTGGAGGGAGGATGTGTCTTGAGGAGGGGAGGAAAATGAGGGAGGGAATGTGGGCAGCCCAACAAACTCCAGTTTAGGATTGTGATTCTTATAAATAAAACCAATTTCCTGTTGAGAGTGGAGAAAGGCAGCTTTGGTGGGAAAGAGAATGCCATCGGACATGTGAGGAATTTGTTTCTCAAGGACCTTTGTGTGAACGTGTCTCCAAAGCCTGGAGCCACTCTCTGAAATGCAGGATTATTCGCTTCCATTTGAGAGACAGATCCACTGAGGCCGAAAGAGATTAAGCAACAACTCAGCAAGTCACAACCAAGATAAGAGATCCCTGAGAAGTGAGTTTCTAAAGGGTAGATTCCTGTTCTAATAACAACAAGGGCTTATTTAGAAAGAAGTTCTAGGAGCAGTTTTCAGGCTCATTCCTTATCAGTGTCCTTTTAGCCAGGAAGGGATTAGCCACTCAGTGAAACTCTCCTCCGTCTTCAGGACCTGGCCCACA